GATAATAAAATACACGTTCCTGTTACTTGTATCAGAATCCGCCGGCAGTAGACACATAGCAGATATGTTTTAGCGGCACCTGGCTTCACCTTTATCACAGTACGATATAGCCGGGTCTAGCCACAACCGCAAGTCTGCCCCGCTCTTTGTCGGCGTGGTCGCTCCGACAACTAAATTCATTGAGATCACTGTGGTAAACTTGTATCGGGTTTCAGATATTACTAGCCAAAGCCCATTTAGAATTTATATTCTTGTTCCAAACTAGATAAATTCCTATGTTACTTGTCTAGATAGTGACAACTTACTGCCCTATTTTAGTCCCTGTTTTTGTGAGTTGACGTCGATTAAAAGCGCCTTTAGCGCCATTCGCAACAAACAAACTGTTTCTGTTTATGTAATAAATATGTCGGTCTTTATTGAAGTTTGCCAATAAAATTGTATTGAATTTTAGCGGGTTGCTGTATCGATTTTGAATATTTCGCAAATATTCTCGCTGATTGGTTCGGTTATATAAATATGGCCTGAATTTTAATATCAATATTTTGCTTCTGAATTAAATTGAATAAATAAATTGATACTGAATGAATAAATATGTTGATCGAAAGTACCTTGTGGCTTCTTTTCAGTCTTTGTTTTGACAGTATTTTTTTTAAGGATTTCGAGCAACTCAAGTTCATGATATGTGGTATGTAGATTGGAATTGTGTCCAAGCAATGAAAAATTTGTTAGAACTATGTACGTAAGTATTTCTACGAATCGACAGATAAATAAACAGATATTATGCTAATCCAAAGTATGCAAGTTTTATTAGTTTGGTACTCCATTCCATTTTATTTCTTGGCATTACATCAATTACAGAAAGCCCGAACCATTCGTGATCCTTTTCTTTTTTTACTGAGCGTTGATATTTTTGTGTTGACATTGAAGACAAATGACAACAGCTTTCACCTTTCCAAATTTATATTTTCGAAATAAATACTTTTTGAATTGATACCTAAATTGCCATACTCAGCGACGTAATAATTATTTAAACTATTCCTTAGTAAGGAATTTGTTCCGAAAACAATTGCTAATGACTGGGTTAAGTAGCCATTAAATGACTCTGAGTAGTGATGAAAAAATAATGACAGTTATCTAAATTCTTTTAATATAGTCAATTTAAAAAAGAGATTTAGTAATTTACTTGCAAATTGTAATAACAATAATTCAGTAATTATTCATTTCAGTAATGTTTAGGTAAGTACCTAATAAATAACATCAATAAAATTATTTTACTCTGTTGGTAACCTATAGGTACCTATTTATTTCATTGCCATTGCTTTTTATTACATTATACAATAAACCAAATAATCCTAAATATTTTATCACATCATAAATTTGATTGTAGGCTAGAGGAATAGACATCTTTTTACTTTTTTTCATGTCTCAGGTAAGGAGTCCCTTGCTTCCTTACCTTTTTAAAATAAAATTTGAGACGTGACAACTAACAAAATAGTGGATTAAAACCCAAATGCAATCTGATGCATGACATTTTTACGATTAAAAGCTTTATTCTGAAACATATAAAGTTTTAATTTTATTGACCACAAACCATTTTAATTGTGGACTGTTCTACAAATTTTTAAATTTTAATTTATTCAAATATCGAATAGCTAGACCTTTGCCGTTGACCGTAATCTTGCTTCACTGTTATTTATTTATTTATTAAGGCTAGAAAATATTCAGATGAGATTATTTACATATTTAATTATTGTAAGATTTTTAAATCTTTGTGACTCGATTAGCTATCCGTTGACCTCGAGAGTTCATTACGTTTTTACTATTCTTATCATATTATTATTTCATGTTATGACGTAAATAGATTCATAGGGAGACACATTATAATAATATATGTAAATTATAAACAAATAAGGGCGCACCATTGTTAGTTAAGAAATTCTATGAATATTTTTAGTAGACGGGCGTCTTTTGAGTGATTGTTGCTGTCCGGTGCGCAGGCGCAGCAGGGGTGTCATTTATCACTATTGGTGCAGACGAATGTCCCACAGCTAAGTACACAGTTACAAAAAATAAAGCAAACGATTTTTTCTGTCATTCCTGCAAAGTGAGTAACTAAACTACTCGTCTTTCAAATATTTTTTGTAAAACAGGTTTAGGGTTGTATTGTATTGGCGTAGTTGTGAACTTGTTATTATTTTTACCCAAAATTAGGTGCTGTTTAAGTTTCATTTAGTTTCTAAACAAAACTGTTAGTGAGAAGGAAAACATCAATTAAATCTTTGACACATATAATCACAAAAACTATATTAGACCAGGTCACAAAAACCGGTCATTGATAAAAAATTTGAAGAAAAAAAAAACAAATCGGCCAAATACAGTCTGTTACAATTCCTTATCTAATCAGTTACGTAGTGTATTAAATAAGAGATGTATCATTAAATGTCTGTAAGCTATCAACAGAGGCCAGACTGCGTGCATTGCTCCCACAGCTAAAAATACCAAGTTGAAAGCCTAAATATGGCTGTGACAAACGTTTGGAAAGTGTAACCACAGTTAGACAGGTACTCAGGCATGGAGTATAGAAGTACAGAGAGACTGCGTTCGAAAAAGTATCGCAAATTAAAAAGTTTATACAAGTTGTGCTTAATGTAATCTAGTACATTTTTATTTTTCCAAATATTCATGAAGTGCAGCGTAGTTTAGATTAAGTTTTATGGTTTAAAATAAATAAAGTCAAGTTTACAGTTGCCACTTAATGCCATTCAATGCATACTTTTTTAGTTGATACCCATATAAGATAGTTAGTACTCCATACTTCCAATGGTGAGATTAGCACTGGCAGGTTCCATTTACCTCCATGAAAATTTAAGTTTAGAACGGATTTCACTATTGTCTCTGATCGAAAACAATGCTGGCATTGAATCACTTTGCTTTATTTTACTGCAATGTTTGAAGAAAGTTGTAAGTTCTCTCAGCGTCAAAGAAAAGGTCTTATTTTCTGTCAGAAATTGTGATTGGATGGTTACGTTTTGATCAGCCAATCACATTCGTTGGTACTTCGTATGACCATCTTGTTCTGGGCGGCTTTTTCTTCTTATTGCTAGAGTCATAATTAATTTTCGGGTGTATTACAATTGGTTATTGTATCCGTTTTTTTAAATATTTCTGGCTAGTCTCAATTGATGCATAACTTGACACTCATTCTTCATGACCATTGGAATATACATTGCCATTACCTTACACACTCAAGGCGGACTACATACTGAACTTATCTATATTAATACTCAGTGATGTGTGAGTGTATTATTTTTAACTACTTCCTTTGTTTATAACTATAAATACCAAAGCTAATGTTCCAGAGAAACATTCCCTCTCTTGTCCCTTAAAATCATTTTAATACAGTAGTAATACGATAGCAATACGATTAGTGAGCCGAGACCATTCCTGTTATCGATTTGGATCTTAAAAAGACCATAAGAACTTCTAAACTTGTCTATTTTTATTAATACCAGCCAGCATTAAGTTTAACATAGACAAGTAGAGCCTAGTTCCTATTTTTAATCGAACTGTCATTAAAATAGACTGTCCTTTTTTGGACATTCTAACAGAGCTTTTTTATTTTATTTTATAAATACTCTAGAAAATAACACATGAATTACTATGACATTCTTAATATAGACATTAGTATGTATTGATTAGGACTTGGATACTAATTTTGTAATTAAGTAAGTATCTACTTACTAATGACATTTATTTAGTTAACAAACAACCAATTAGAAAACGCGATTAATTAGGGACTAACCAGAGACAAGTAAACAGGCATCGTTTGTCACGCGTAACTCACTCGTGTGTAATTCTGCTGATTTTGCAATTACTCTCAATTATTATCATCCACACGGTAAATAGGTGATTGTAACTCATATCATAATTAATTACTATTCTAATTAATACATTATCTTACATACGGTAGTAAGATGAACGCTGTTTACTATGCAATCCGCCATTAAATTGACTTTCTCATTTGTTAGTAAACAAGTGATTAGTGGAAAGTCTTCCTGGATATCGATATGTTATCTGTGGAACACGCGTGTAAATTGGTATGTTTTTTTTTAAATTGTGTGCCAGTTTTAACCGGTTTTTCTAGTGTTGCTAGATCAAGGGATTGTTGTGTAAAAAGCTCTTCGGATAAAAGTTTATGTGAGTTTGATAGAAAATCAGTGATCATGTATCTCGTTTTTACGTGGATGATATAAAAGTGTTGAAGTGTTACAAGCTATTTATATCGTTTATACTTTAAGAGTTATAAAAGTTGAAGGGAGATAGGAACCTGTAGAAAGCAGGTATCGATAAAGTTAACGACATGTTGCGAATGTTTTGATTACATAACAGATGTGTCCAATGTTTGTGCTTACACGTCTGTGTCGGACATTCTTACGATCGCCGAGGTGCCGGCTGTGGAGGGCGCCAACACCGAATCACTCGCTCGGGCCGTGATGCGCACGCACACCCGGCGTGACAGCGTAAATATATTTATATGTCGCTCAAAATCCCTGTAACCGATAGTTTATCATTAAGGTCCGATAGATTATTAACTTTAATGTACATAAACAAAGCTAACGATGCGGAACATTGATGCATAGGTTAAATATCTCAAATAGGTTTTGTCTAGTGGTGCGCGGGCGTCGCACATCGGCCCGGCCGCGCACCTCGCGCCACTCATTCGCACCAAGCGCAAGCGCCGGGTGGCTGCGCTGACACGTACTCTCCGATGTTTTTAATCTACCCTCGTATCCTATCGGACGGAAATAAATTATCAATTAAATTAAATCAGTAAATAAATAATTTAAAAAGTTACCTAAAATATAAAACGCATAATACAACGTGAATAACACGCCGGCGTCGAGTGACAGTTATCTTTAGTGCCTAAATTAATATGAATGTATTTGTAAATAAATAAATTGTAACTAAGTGGAACAGGACGAGACTTTAAGGTGTTATTAATGAGCCCGTGTTTACCGAAGAAGAGAAACTCCATGAGTTCTCCCAAGTTGGAGATGTCCGTGGAGCACCAGATTCCTGTGTTGATGAAAAAGGTAACCAAATTAAATATTATCACATTTGTAAACAGTGTGTTGTCGTTAGCCTTTGACTTGGTACTCTGGGTCAGACAATGTCTTAATATTGTTTCAATAATTAGCTTTGTATTGCAATTATTATTAGTCTAGATCACGATAATTGATGGTGATTTAATTAAATACAAATACAGTGACACATATGACTGGAGTAGGCATGACAGATAATAATCTTTTTATCTTTATGTTTACTCTGAGAAAATGTTTTTAGGCCGATTATTTAAAATATTTTCAATGATAAATGTGTTCGCATAACAACAATCAGTAGCAATAAAATTCGTGTATCGTTTTTATCGTATGACGGGCTGCGCGAGCGCATATAGATGCAGCAGGCGGCGTCTGCGTGGCCTCCATGTTGCATCGCTAATATAGCGCGACCCGGACTCTATTTTCCGCAATTTAGTATGCAAACCACCTCGGTGCCTCGTATATCCAGTTTCAGGATCTTGCTGTAAATTATTAGGTGTTCCTAGGGCTGACTTATGTGCAGTTATTATGTAGACGACGACCAACGACGGGGCGGACGTTACCGGCCGAGTTATTACGGCTGAGCATGTAATCATATTGATGAACGACTCCCGGGGTTGCGGGGCTCGGGTAGTGGTCAACTTGAGACTAACCGATACTTACCTACAAGAATTTTATACTGAGAAATATCGCCATACCTGTCAGGCTTGGTGATCGCAAGATTGTTGCAGTCAACGGATAATTATCTGTTATAACTGAAAGCTATAGAGGGAACCGACCTCATTTGTTATCAATGTATTACTTAGGATTGAATGTTGTCACGCTACAGACAATGTAACGGTTAGATAATTGCCATTTTATCGCAAAAACTCGAAATAAAACTTTAAAATGTTTGCAGTGAAAGCTGAATTTTGATCATATAATTTTAGAATTTCCTAACTCAAGATACGGTAGTCGATAATTCAGTATTCTTACATCAATAAGTTTTATTTAATAGTCACCTTTTAGCGGTCGTATAGTGCTCTTTGTGAATCTATTTATCTATTTTTTTCCTATCTGTGAATTGTGATTTGTAGTCCTAGACGGAGTTATCATAGGACTTGAATGATACCCTTATTATGGACTCTTGGAAAACCCCGAGCACAATTATGGGTAGATAAACAAAATACTTAATTGTTAGGAAGATAAAAATTAATCTCTTGTTCTAATGTTTTGGTCCGCGACAATTTATTTGACATTGTGACGGTTAATGGAACAAAACACTTGGATCAATTTTTTAAAAGAATGCAATTGCTCTCTATGCATTTCGTATAATATATATTTAATCGATTCGATTTTTCAATATTCGAATCAATGGATAGATTGATCCTAAAGAAATTATCATTGTATAATTTTCAATAATATCTATAACTTATCATGTCAATAGACTCAAATCCGATTAAACAGCAGTAAACAATGTTACTATGCAATCCTTGAAGTTTGTAGTGCGTGAAATGTGGGTTTCGATCGCCTGTTTACCTAGTGGAGTAATCACTTTCATCAAACTCATAAGTGATGTCACTTTATGTGTACATCTCGTCGCTTCTGGCTCACGAGGCAAAATCATTAGTGGTTTATCAAGTACAGAGACAGGTCAAATGTTACAATCAATGCAACCATAGTACAACTATCATCGTAAAAGCACGCGGGTCTACACATGATTTTAGCGACTCTTTAACTGTCCACGCTAAGGTCATCTTATCATTTCGGTAAAAAACTTTATTATATTTAGAACAGTGTGTTATTTTTGTTAAGGAAGATCATAGGTGCAAAGTTTGATGTTTTTATTGGGTACCAATTTGTTTGATTGTTGCGTCATTGGTAGATATGGAATGAACTGCGTTATTATACTTCGTCTTAAAATTGTTGATTGATAAATGGGTCGTGAAAATCACGCGAATACAGTCTTTCCCCGAAGATCATGTAGTATTTGACTGCCGAATTACTGTCTAAAAGTTCGTTTTGAAGTGTCCAGTATTGCAAATTGTTGTCGTTTTATCTAATAGGGACATGTGTAGGTATTTTCATCCCAGGTTGTTATGTATTTTGTTTACTAACCACGGATCAGAGTGCAAGGCGACAGGTCACAGTATGTTACGATTGCACTAGTATCTAATGTAAATAGTGCAGCGTTGTCAAACATGTGGCTGGAGACATGTTTTCTTCGAACTTTGAGCGAACGCTTTCCTCGGATAAGTACCTACATAGTTTTATTTAAGGAAGAATGCATTTGTATTGTAACTTTCGTGAGACATACTAAATAAATTATTATGTTTTCGGCTTACTCACGTAGTAATTTGACGAGGAATTCGACTAGTTTCAAGCCATGCTAGAGGCTCATATTCATGAGCAGCATTTCGAGACCCGCGACGCGGCGACTGAGTAGCTCGACGGCGAGCGTATGAGCCTCTAGCACAGGGCCGCGCCGCCCCTGTGTGCGAAGTGTGCGGCGCACACAGGCGCCAAGACAATAGGGGCGCCGTGTCGCGCCACCACCTCTACTTGAATTATTTTTGTTACCTTAATTATTATATTTTTGGTAGTAGAGTATCGATAAGTAAGTAGGTACAATAGGCGCAACATAGGCCTTGTATACAACAAAACTTATATTACGCTTATTAAACAAGTCTCTCAATATTTATGTTTATTATTAATCACGTTTATGGTTTCATTTTACACTTAGGGTTTTAGTTTACAATACTTACGAGTTACAAGATCAACGTTAAAACGGCGGCAGATCTTTTGAACCACAGATAAAGTAGGTACCTACTAGTTATATTGAATCATAAAGGCGCCGACTTTGTATGAGTAAGTATGAGTGAGTTTGTGAACGCAACCCGATGCGATGCGTGCGAGGCTATAGGAGTAGGGTCACAGGGATTCCCCGATTTTAACGAACGAGAGAGTCAAGCTAAAACAAAACAATTGAACAATCATTTGATTGAAAGTGTGTGTAAGGTGCGCATTGAACTTTTTACTGACTTTAAAAAAAGGAGGAGGTACGTATGTTCGGCTGTTTTTTTTTTTCAGTACTCCGCCATATGTGAACCGATTTCGAAAATTCTTGTTTTGTTTGAAAGGGTATACTCCCGAGATGGTCCCATTTCCATGAGGTCAGGATCTGATGATGGGACCCAAGGGAAACCAAGGGGAACTTTTGAAAATTCTATGGGCGAGTACTGCGTCTATTTTGTTTTTCAATTACGATTTTTAAACACTACAATTTGATAAGGGTCTGGATTTGACCTGATGATGGAGCCGACAGACAGTCGAGGGAACTCCTCAGCGGTTTATATTAACTACCTTGTGTTTGTACTAAATTAATCAAGCCCAAGCATAGGGTAGTTAATAAAAACAGCTGAGGAGTTCTCTCGATTGTCTGTCGGCTCCATCATCAGGTCGACTCCAGACCGTTATCAAATTGTAGTGTATAAAAATCGTAATTGAAAAACATAATAGACTCATTACTCGCCCCTAAAATTTTCGAAAGTTCTCCTCGGTTCCTCTCGGTTTCCCTAGGATCCAATCATCAGATTCTGAGCTCATGGAAATGGGACCATTTCGAGAGTATACCCTTTTAAACAAAATAAGATTTTTGGAAATCGGTGTACAAATGGCGGAGTAATGTGCGAACAAACAAAAAAAATCAATCAGCCGAACATAGCACCTCCTGCTTTTTTGAAGTCAGTAAAAAAGAGGCGCTCCATCGATTCCGCACACAGGCGCTGCCGGGGGTCGAGCCATGCTAGAGTCTAGCATGGCTTGAAACTAGTCGAGTTCCTCGTCAAATTACTACGTGAGTAAGCCGAAAACATAATTATTTATGAAGAATGCATTTTTTTATGATTATGTTGTCCTTATTGTTTAATTGTGTGGAACACAATTTTATTATAATAAGGATAATTCTCAAGAAATTACAGCTCAATACATACAGGAATGTCTGCATTCACAGGTATCTTAGATGCCTTATTACAATACAGATACAGTATTCAACGTTCTTGAGAAAATAGCAGTATATTAATCGAAGAAAGGTCGAATATGTACAATTATCACTAAGGTTAAGCACATCGTCATGTTGTGCCAACATTTATCCATTGACATCATTGAATTCATAAATTATTATAGAATTTGGGACGAAATCCAACAAGCTAATTAAATTGAGGAAACCCGAAGCTGTATATACTTAGTAACTGTTCTATAATGAAGAATTAAACCTTCTAGAATGTCTGTTTGTATGTGTTCCAAGTGTCATAGTGTCTAGGTATAATATAAGGTATGGCCTATAACCTTCTTCAAAGAAAGTATTGTTTTATAGATATTTCTTGTTATTTGTAATCTATGCATTTTATTTATTATAAATTTTATTATTCATTTATTTATTTATTATTTGCAAGAGTAGGTAATTTAGTACAGCTATTTCTACACAGATTATAATAGCCAATGCTTGATAGATTTTTAACACAGTAATATTTAAACAACTGAAAGCTAATGCTACGAACGACTTCTATTTATTTTGTTAGCCTAGATCTGAATTCATACATTGATATAAATAGTATTTACTCATTTAATTTCCAGTATTTAGATTTATCTATACGTAAACGTTTATTTCGGTACAATCAAAAGCTTCTTAGAAAAATGTATTGTAAAAGTGAAACAACTGACGTAATTCCAATGCGTTTTCATTGTTAACGGGGAATTGGTTCAATGTTAACGTTATTGTTGTTACATTTTAACATCAATTTGCATTTTAATGTCACATAAATAACTTCCCAAGAAGCAATGTCTCGGTCATTCACCTCTGCTAGAAATAGTAATGGATGCCGAATGTCTATCGCTCGACAAGTAACATTTTTGTATCAAAAATAGGAAAATTCAATACTAAATTCTTGGCAGCTTGTAGTTGTAGATTTAATGATGCGACATTAAAATATTATCGGTCCATAATTATAATTTTT